CATGGCTATTGTCAAAATTGTGGGAGTGTTTATGGTCAGATGAGATGTCTACAAACATCTTCCTTTTCTCCTTTACTTTCTAAAAGAAGAGGCTGCTTTTTTTTTTTTAATATATATAACCATGAGAATTCAGAATCCTCTACCTCTAAAGAACTACAGTAGTATAATACTCAATATGTTAGTCCTTTTTAATGGAAATAGGCACACTTAAGGAAAAGAAGAAAAATTGTTGTTATTAAAGATTTAAATGTGCTCCAGGGACGCTCTATTAAGGCTCAGTGCTGTTGCTGTAATCTTAAACATGTAAAAGACAATCTGAATCCTGGAGCAGGGCACATGATAGCTTTATAGCTAAACTGCTTTTAAGGAAAAAAAACAAGCTTTAAGAGGCAAAATAACATAGTAATAGAAATTCATTGGCATGTGATTTTTTTTCTCTATTTATAACTGCTTTTACTGGGTCAGTTTTAATATGCTTCTCAGTTGCTTGATCTAAGTCAAATGGAAAAGAAATCTAGTACAGCCTTATATACTTAAAAAGATAATAAATAGTTAAAGTTTATTATTAAGCTTTAAAGAAATAGCTGTAATTTTGATTCAGTTAGCTTTTAAAGTCTTTCTCCTTGAATGTTATTTGTGTTTTCAGAAGTTTAAAGTGCCTTAATATGTATTTACTAGGTCTTAAGAGTTAGATTTTCTTTGTCTTTCATTTTAAACTAGGTAATGTAGAAAATAGGTTCCTATTCTGGGCTAGAATACTGTATATGTGTTTACTTGTTTACCGGCTGATGGTCTATAGGAAGCAGCAATAATGTTCAAACCTAATGACATTTCTAGATGATATAGTGGAAATATAGTAATTTGTTTTGGTTTACTCCTTAAGACATCATTCTTGCTCCTCTACTGAAAAGAATAGAATTTAAGTTCTCACTGACTGAATTTTTCTGAGACTTATATATCCTTAGAATAAAAGGAGAAATAAAAAAGGGAGGTATTAAATAACATTTTGGGCATCAAGTAGAACTATAATAGAAAAGTGTATTATTTGGAAAAGAGATATAAATAAATGGTCAGATGGTGAAGATAGAAGGTGAGGAGGAAATGAAATTTTATTGCAGATTCCTAGGTAGCCAGAATAATTAGAGGTTCTTTTATTCAACTAGCTCATATATGGAAATTTAGATTTAAAAAAAAAGGTTAACTTTCAGAAGAATTATGTTTTTATAAGGTATAATTCCATATTGTAAAACACAATTTTTTTAATAGGTGGCAAATATCAGAAAGGGAGACAGAACATGAAAGACTCCTAACTCTGGGAAACGAACTAGGCGTGGTGGAAGGGGAGGTGGGCGGGGAGTGGGGGTGACTGGGTGGCGGGCGCACTGAGGTGGGCACTTGACGGGATGAGCACTGGGTGTTATTCTGTATGTTGGCAAATTGAACACCAATAAAAAATAAATTTATTAAAAAAATTAAAAACAATTTTTTAAATTAAAGTTCAGGTTATTGATTTCTGTTCCCTCAACATCAAGTAAAATTATTAATATGTATACTAATTATAAGAAATGAAGATTAAATATCTATTAGCATGAGCATGAAAATAATTATTTCTCACATTGCACTTTTGGGTGAATGAATTCTGGTAACTGATAAGTCTTTACAGGGTTGGGTATGTAGGGGTGTTGGGTGTGGTTACAAGTATAAATATTCAAAATTGAGATTTGGAATAGAGGCAAACTGATCTGCATAACCTAGAGAGGGAGATTTAGAAGCCTGCAGGAAGGTCCAAAAGGTGCAAAGAAAATGAACAATGAGAATGAACAAGATGTAAGGGAACAAGGAGGTAGCCTAAGAATTAAGAGAACAGCCAGTGTTTGGTGGAGCTTTGATAAGTATACTCCATTGATCTATAATAGTTTTAAGTAAATTCCATATCACTTATTGGTGTTTTGGCAGTAAGTAAGTTATCTCGGGGTCAGTGCAAAGAGTTTTGGCATTCTGTGTCTGGTGAACACTGACCTGTGAGTTAATTTACTAGGAATCTGAGTGGCATTAGAATATTAAGTTTGATGGAGGCAAATTTTGTATGCTAAAAAAAGAACCAATAGTGTTATCTTTGCTCTGGCTTTGAGCTAATCAGTGGGTGAAACTTTAAGGATATTTGTATATTCTCAAAGTAGCTACCAAAATATGTGTAAGTTACTTTAGTGGTTTTTAACATAGAACCACACAGTTTTTGATACTTTCCCTCTGGGTAGTGGAGCTTAATTTTCCTTTTGAGTTGGAGTGGTTTCTGCTCAGGAGTTTGAAACCAGAATCAGAGGCTATTCATAGTTTGATGAAACTTATCAACTGCCTGAGGAAGTCTTCCTTGTAACAACCTCCTACCCTGACCATGGAAAAGCCCAGGCTGGTTTTTAGCTCAATAAAAAAATATCGAAAAGATAACCAGTTAATTAACTCATTTAAAATAAAATGGGGCTAGGTTGAAATGATGATGTTGAGGAGGGAAATAGTTCAAAACTTTAAGGAATGACTAAAAAATGTAATAACTATGTCTTTATTATCTCTTTTCTTACACACACACACACACACACACACACACACACACAAACACACAAACACACACTCCTGGTCTGGAGAAGGAGTCATTGAAAGAATAAAGATGTTAGCAGTCAGTTTCAGGCTTCTAGGATAATTATAATTTTGCAAGCAAAATTCATAAACATATCCCACCTTGAATAGATTATGCGTATAGAATTAAATATTATTACAAATTCCATTTACCCTACAATAAAGGACAAAAGAACAAATATCAAACATTAAAATCATTTGATAACTACCTGAAAAACATTATGACTCTCAACTTCTTATACCCCTCTTTCCTTCTTAATAAAATTGGCTTAATAATAACTTGTGGATTTATACATGATGTGATTTGAAATGTTGGGGTTCAGAACTGGCAGCCAATAAAGAATTCTTGAGATGTCTTCAGTGCAAAAAAGTGGTTTTATTAAAGCATGGGGGCAGGATCCATGGGCAGAAACAGCTGAACGGCGTCATGAGGAGTGGCCCATTATAACTTTCACCTTGAGAGGGAGTTACTGGTGGCACAAGCCTCCAAGGTGTTTTTTTTTTTTTTTTTTCCCCAAGGTGTTTTGGAGGCAAGATTTCCAGGACCTCTGGGCCTGGAGGTAGAGGAAGGAGTGAGTAGCTGTTGTTAGGAAAAGGTCATTTATTACGGTTTAGTAAAAACTAGTCATGAGACCCTTCAGGTGTATATTGGGGGTCATATGCTTGGAGGATGATTGCTAACATCTATCTGGGGGGCTAGAGATAAAGGAAATTTTCAAAGGAATTTTTATATGTTAAAATAGACTTACAGGATCCTGGAGCTGAGGATAATGTTAAGCTAGGATTGCATTTTGCCTTTAGCAAAGCATTAACATTGAGGCAGCAGAGTTCCTAAAGGAATGCCACTCTGCCTGTTGCAAGGACTTGTCAGTGGGCTCTAAGTAGTAAGGAAATGTAATTTTTTTCTTTTGCCTTTGTTTCCCACATCATGAGGATTAAATGTTTATGTTCACTATATATAATGTATTTAATATGTAAGAAGAAGAACACCTGGATGTAGTGAATGCTAATAAGTGTTGTAATATTATTACCATACTGAAACCAGAATTCTTTTTCATTTTGATAATGCTTCTCTGACTTTTTACTCAGTTGCTTTTTATTAGAGACAGAGCCATGGCAGAGGGAGCTGTAATTTCCTGGACAGTGGGCCATGGTTATTTTATATATATGTATATTAGTAGCCCCAGCACAGTGCCTGACACATTGTAAGTACACTTAGGATTTATTTATTGGATATGTAAATTAAGGAAGGTTGAATGTGATTGATTATATTTGCACCAAAACAGTTTTTTTTTTTTTGAAAGATTTATTTAGAGAACATGTAGGGGGAGGGGACGAGGGGTGGGAAGAGAGAGAATCTCTAGCAGACTCTTCCCTGAACCCTGAGCCCAAGGCAGAACTGGATCTCACCACCTTGAGGTTATGACTTGAGCCAAAATCAAGATTTAGAGGCTTAACTGACTGAGCCATCCAGGCACCCTTGCATCAAAACAGTTTTTTTTTTTTTTTTTTTCAAAACAGTTTTTAAAATGTTTTGCTGTTTGTCTAGAACTCATTGAGTGCCATAGATTTTGTTGGAAAACCTCTGGCATTTGGCTTTTCTCAATTTGGGTGGCTTCTGCACATATAGCTTGCTAAGTCTAAATGCTAGAATTATAAAAAGTTTTCTTAAACAAATAGAATGCTTTTTAAATATCATGAAAGATTACTCCAAATATATATATATTTTCCTTAAGTTTAATTTTACCTTAGAGCAAATCAAAACATACTTTTCCGGCTACCTTTTGAAATTTGAATTTTCTTGAAATTCTTTTTCCATTTTATTAGAGACAAATGTAGAAAAGAATGCTTTTCTCTTTGTGAAGACTGCTTTGAAGAGCCAGTTATATGCAGTGATAAAATATCATACATGTAATAATGTTGCCGTAAGCATGTTTCTACCTTAAGATATTTTTTTCAGAATTTGAAAAACTAGTGAGTCTAGTTTGATTATTATGTCTAAATAGCTGAACAGATAATATGATTTTTATACTATTATTTCACCTGGCAGTATGTTTTGTTTCCAAGAGTGCTTTAACTGTCTACACTCCCTAAATGTGTAACAAAATACTCAAAGGTGGGGAAAAAGTGAAATTAAGTGGAAATGGATTAAGAACATCAAGAAGTTGTTTATATTTGATATATAAAAATATGTATTACCATCGAGGTGTTCTTAGGACTTCAGTGAATGAGAGGGTTATAATTCCTATGTATATGTTGTACAACTCATAATCATCCCCCCCCCTTTCCTTAATAAATCCTAATAGTGACTTTCAGTTCTATGTGTATTTTACAATGCTACAATTTTCTGGTATCTTTCATTCTAGGCATTGAAGAAACAAGAAGCTAAAGTAGATGAAGATGAGGGAGTCATGAAAAATAAGCTAAGACAGACTGAAACTGAGAAGAGTCAAGTAAGATTTTGAAAGTTCTCTTTCATCAAAGAGTAATGCTCTTTGCAATGGGGCCAGTGATAATTGTTGAGTGCCTGGGAAATTGTCCCTGAGATCATTTGTTGAAACACATCTGTTTTGATGTGTAGTCCCTTGGTTTGATGGCTCTGCCATCCTCTGTTGCTTGCTTTGGGAAACAGGTATAGGTAGGTCATTTGCTACCTTGTCATATGGCCACTCCCTTCCTACAGGCAAATTGAATTGTATCAGTCCTTTGTGGGGAACATGTAATGACCTTGACTTTACTGCAGGGCTGTTTAGGAAAGATTTGTTGTTTAAAGGGTGGAGATTTTGAATATATTTATTTTCATCATTGAAAACAGTGTAGGTGCATTAAATAATAAGGATTTTTGACATATATTCATGTCTATGGACCTATAGAGTCTAGCATGTTAGAATTGGAGAGGCATTTAGAGACAAAGGTCCTCAATTTGCAAATGAACAGATTTAAGGACGAGCCCAAGGTAATGAATGATAAAATGAAAATTTGCAAATGATGTAATGTTCTTTGCACTATCTCTTTTCAAATCTACCATTACCTCCTTGATTTTTATTTCACCAACCTATGTCAAGTTAAATGATGCATTTATGATACCTTTACGGTAAGCAAGTTGTGTCAGGCCATCATGCTTGCCCTTAGGGAGTTGGGGCTGCCGATGTTATTATCCAGGGAACCTAACCAGTATGGGTCTTTGCGGGTTTTGAAAACATTTTAACGGAAATGTGATTCCTTCCCTCTTTATTTCTCCAAAGAAACTGGAGGACAAGTCAGATAATATTTTGTGTGGATTCTGTGATTTCATATATACTTTACTTTTTTTTAGAATATGATGTTTTATTTGCCATATGTATAAGTTTTTTAAAAAACTTATATAACCAAATTTAAAAAGTATTTTGAAATAGTTACAATTTCAATAGGGTGTTACAAGACAAAATGTTGAGAGAGGTCACATGTGCCCTTCACACAGTTTCCCTCAGTGGTAACATTTTGCATAATTGTCATTCCATATGCAAACTGAGAAATTGACTTTGGTACAATCACATAAGTTATTGTGAAATTGCAGATTTGACCAACTTGTGTGTACTTATTCATGTTCTGTGAAGTTGAGTCATGTATAGATTCATGTTACTGTCACCACAGTGAAGATACAGAACTATAGTGTTTGTTCCTTTATGATAGTCGTAACTACCACATGGACAATATTTAAAGGACTGATATAATGTATAGAGAGTTGTTTGGTCAAGTGAAATAATAACTTCGGATAACTATCACAAATCTAAGTACTTAATAACATCTTATAAATTTGTGGTTTCATAAAACAGCCTTACTGTGACAAAATGCAAACATGTCTAGCATATGTAATCGCAGGCATTTTAACAAACACTTGTTCCATATGTAGAGGTGAAAAAGTAATCTTCCCTTTATTCATCTAGGTTCTTTGGCTGACCTAATAATTAAACTGACATAAAATAGATTAACAGGAGAAAAAAAAATCTGATTTTGTATTTATAGGAGCTGCATAAAAATAAGAGCTCAAAGGGAGCCAAGCTGTTGAGGCTTATTATATACCACCTTCAGCTAAGGAAATGGGATAGAGGTCTTGAGCCTCAAAGGGGAGAAAGACAATTCACAGGAAGATGAGAAGAGCAAATATTTGGTAAACAGATGTTTGCCTTGTATTGTGGAGAAGTCTTCTAGATATAAAAAGTTAGCTGTGGTCATAGCTCTCTTCCTGGTACACAGACTCCCTCTCCACGATTTTTAATGCAGTTAACGGAGAGGTAAAAAGCTTTTCCAGAGTCTGTTGGGTCTTGATTTCCTTCAGCTCAAGAAATACTTATGCCAAAGAGGCATATTTTGGGCGGGGGTCGGGAAGCAGCATATTCCTCTTCCCCTTCATATCCTATTATATTTTTCGACTTGTAAGCTAGGCACATTCAAACTTTTTAGGTATTTGGTCATCTAATTAGCTCATTTTCTGTGAATATATATCTTATGACTATATTATTAAGGAAATTTTAAATGTCTTATTCTGAAATTAGATGTTTTAAATTTTAGGGATGTTATGAATATCGGAAATATTAGGAATGGTATAATATTAAGAATACACAGAATCACCAATTAGATGAAATATACTTTAGTCATTGGGTCCTTCACGTTTTTATTCTAATTCAATTTTTTTAAAGATTTTATTTGTTTATTCATGAGAGAGAGAAAGAGAGAGAGAGAGAGAGAGAGAGAGCAGAGACACAGGCAGAGGGAGAAGCAGGCTCCATGCAGGGAGCCTGATGTGGGACTGGATCCCTGGACTCTGGGATCACTGCCTGGGTGGAAGGCAGGCGCTCAAGCCCTGAGCCACCCGGGCGTCCCTCTAATTCAGTTTTGTATGATGTTAAATGTACTGAAGAAAAAAATTGCTTTGGAGGTTAGATTACAGTGATTTAGAACTGGAAGGAATCTCGGGGATTGTCTAATATAAAGTCCTTATTTTACAGATGATAGAAAGGAGACTAAGGAAGAGTGTCATAGTTGAGATCCAACTGACTAAGAACTTGGACCCCCTGAGGTCTGGTTTGGTTCACTTTTTGTTATGCAATTAACATTATTTTCATGGAAACCGCCCCCCCCCAAACCCATTATTTTCATGGAAACATTGATATGTTTTGATAGCAAGGTATTTTTTTTCATATTAGCTGTAGATATCTTCTGAAAAGTTCTCCAGTTTTCTCCTCTTAAATTATGCCCATTATAATTTACTTATTTTCTGCCCCACTGGACATTTTTCTTTATCCTTTGTTGAAACTTTAGCTTGAACAGGAATTAGAGGTATCCCGAAGGTTATTGAATCAGTCAGAAGGCAGCAGAGAAACACTTCTGCATCAGGTAAGTCTATGCAAGCTATATCTTCTTTTAAATTAAATCTGGATTGAGTCTCCTTTTATATTAAAATGTCTTTGTGAGAGGAAGAAAAAATCCACCAAGGTCTAGAAATTCTTTTCCCCCTAAGGAATGTATGTTAAAACACATAAGCAAAAGATGAAATCCTTTCAGGAAGAGTCAGAGAAAGCTGGTACAAAACACTGGACCAAGTTCCCGCTGTGATAGTGTATTTTGCTGATTGCTGCTTCAATTTGGGATTTATCTCTCTTAGTATAACCAGTGTAAAAATGATACTGGATGTGTAAGATTAAACTTTCCCAGGGGCTTAATTTTATTCAAAGAGGCATTGGAGAGTGAAGGAAGAAGTAAAATACATGAAACAGTGAAGGAAAAAGTAAAATACATGAAACAGGAAGAAATAAAATACATGAAATACAGAATTTGAGTTACTTTGCATTGTCTTATATTTACCCTTTCAAGATGCTGCCTGACCCTTTTAACCAAAGATAAAGCTTAATTTTAAAGCATAACATTTGCAACTCATAGCTTATAATGAGAGTTTGCTGCTTCTGCTATTTAAAGTTCAGTAACTTGAAATAGTAATCTTATATACATTGGATAAGGGCATATAGGTTTCTAACTGCCTCTCTGCCTGTGTTTAATATAAACTGTACTTGTACCTTTGTCTGTTTTGAATTGTGGCTTATGGCTTACCTAACTCACAATGTTGTGTGCTATGTAGGCAAAGATGTCAAGCATCGTAGATGCTCAGAAGGAATATTATGTTTTGACCATTAGTGCTGAAAATACACTATAACAGCTATTTTACAAAACCTTGAAAAATGGTCACTGGCTTTGTTCTGCAACCAGGGTTACAAATGGAATTAATGTTGGCAGGGTTCAGACTTCCTTTGTTGAAAGTTTATATTTGTAGTCCTTTCCACTCTAATTTTTTTTGGTTTTGAACTCTGACTTGTGATTTCTAATCTTTTGAAGTAAGAGATTATTGTGTTCAGGTTGTCATTGTGACTTTAGCTGAGTCTTTTTGAGACTCCTAATTTGTTTAATGGCCACTGGGGACATACCTGATGTGTGGTAGGTAATTTGCTAGTCTTTAGAAATACTGATGAATAACATAGTCCCTGACCTCAAGGAGTTCATAGTTTGTTCAACAGCATTGATTTCTTTCTTATTTTGAACAGTACTTTGATATTAAAATATGCTGAAATGTGATCTTTTCACTTGAGTTTATCAATCAGTAGGTCATATTCATACGAAAGAGATGGAGTAAAAAAAAAATCTAAAAACAGTTATGGAGGTGCTTGGGTTAATAGTAGTAGAGTGGACTGAGTTCACAATAAAGGAATTTTTTTTTTTGTGTGTGTGTCAAATTCTTTGTCCTGGTAGACACAGAGAAGGGGAAAAGACATTCATTCTTTGTGGAAGGAATGGGAGAAGTAAAGAAATAGAGCAAGAGACTATTCCACTGTGCTTGGCATAACAAGGAGGTTAACTTGGCTTCAACTTGTGCTGACAGTAGTCTGTTAGAAGTAATATTTCTCCCTAGAAAAATAATTTGAAATAATTCGTAAGTTCAGTTAATCTTTTTTGCATTTAAAACTGAAAGAAGTTTCATTTTTGACTCTATGTATTTAGGTAGAAGAGCTCCGTATGCAACTTATGAAAGCAGAAGGTGACCGAAAGGGTTTACAGCATCAAGTATCTCAGATTTCCAAGCAACTGTTAAACCATCAGGATGAACAAGGAGATGACTGGAGGTTTAGGAGAGGTATAATTCTGATTTGGAAAAGTGTGTTTTTTTTAAAAAAATTTTTCTTAAATACTTCCCATTTTCAGAGTTGCATTTTTTTACATTGTGCTCTTGTCATCTTATTTCTTGATCTACTATCAGGTTTTTCAATAAGCTAATCATAATTTAGCATAAAAATTTTTTAAGAGACTATACTTTTTAGTTTTATATTTACAGCAATATTGAGCAGAAGGTACAGAGATTATTCTGTATGCCTGCTACTCCCACAAATGCATAGCCTCCCCCATGATCAAGTTCCCCTCACTGGGAGTATGTTTGTTATAACTGATGTACCTACCTTGATGCATTGTTATCATTTAAAGTCTATAGTTTACATGAGGATTCATTCTTGGTGTTGTGTATTCTAGGATTGGGCAATACATAAATGACATTTAGGCACCATTATAATATCATAGAGTAATTTCCCTGTCTTAAAAATCCCTTGTCCTTCACCTGTTCATCCCCCCCTCCCTCTAACCACTGGCAACCACAGATCTTTTTACTGTCCCCATAGTTTTACCTTTTCCAGAATCTAATATAGTTGAATCATGCAATCATTCTTAAATTTAGTAATACACCTTTAAGTTTCTTCCATGTCTCTTCATGGCTTGATAGTGTTCTCACTCTCTCTCTCTCTTCTTTCTTTTTTTTTTTTTTAAGCATTGTCAGAGTTTTATATCCATTCACATACTGAAGGCCATTGAGTTGCTTCCATATTTTGGCAATTATGAGTAAAGCTGCTATAAACCAAACATCTGAATATAGGTTTTTGTACGGGCATAAATTTTCATTTACTTCGGGTGAATACCAAAGAATATGATTGCTGGATTGTATGGTGAGACTGTCTTTCAAAGTGGCTGTATCATTTCTTCATTCCCACCCATAATGAATGAGGATTCCTGTTGTTCCAGATTCTTGTCAGGATTTGCAGTTGTCAGTGTCCTGGATTTTGGCTATTCTAATAGGTTTGTAATGGCATCTTGTTGTTTTAATATCCATTTCTTTGATGATGTAACATGTGGAGCATCTTTTATTATATATATTTTCCACCTATATATCTCCTTTGAGGAGCTCTTCATTAAGGTCTTTGACCTATTTTTCAGGCAGGTTGTTTAGCTTCTTGTTGAATTTTAAGAGTCCTCTTGATATTTTAGGTAACAATCCTTTATCACCTGTGTCTTCGCAAATAATTTCTCAGTCTGTAGCTTGTCTTTTCATTCTCTTGACAGTATCTTTTGCAGAGTTGAAAAATTTTAATTTTAATGAAGTCCAGCTTATCAGTTATTTCTTTCATGGATGATGATTCTGCTCTTCTACCTAAAAACTCATCATCAAATCCAAGGTCATCCACAATTTCTCCTGTCTTCTAAAGGTTCTGTAATTTTGAGTTTTATATTTGGGTCTGTGATCCTTTTTGAATTAACTCTTGTAAAAGGAATTCTTATTTCCATGCCTAGAAGTCTGTGTCTAGATTCATTTCTTCTGCATGTGGGTGTTGAGTTGTTCCAGCACTGCACTACTTGTTGAAAACAAACATTTCTCCATTGTATTGTCTTTGCTTCTTTGTGAAAGATCAAGATAAGTTGACTGATTTTATGTGGGTCTATTTTGGGGCCTCTATTCTGTTTCAGTGATATATTTATCTTTTTTTTTTTTTGCTAATATCACACTGTTTTGATTATTGTAGCTTCATGGTGAGTCTTGAAGTTGGATGATGTTAGTCTTCCAGCTTTGTTCTTCTTCTTCAATAATGCATTGCCTGTCCTGGATCCTTTCTTTGCTTCTCCACACATCTTTAGGATTAGTTTGTTGATATTTACAAAATAATTTGCTGGGATTTTGATAGAGATTTCAATAAATCTGTAGATCAGGTTGGGAAGAACTCACATTGGGCAATATTTTGGCTTCCTGCCATGAACATGAATTGTCTCTCCATGTATTTCATTCAACTATGATTTATTTCATCAGACTTTTGTAGTTTTCCTCATATAGATTTTGTTAGATTTGTATTTCAGTATTTCATTTTCTTTGGATGTGAATGTAAATTGTGCTGTTAACTTCAAATTTCACTTGTTTGTTGCTGATATTAGCATCCAATTTTAATATCTCCTCTAATTTTAAATCCATTTCAGATGTATTTATCTTGTGAGGCTTTCTCCAAGAAAAACCCAGCAAAACTAGTAGTGGAATTTTTTCCAGCTTCTTATTTCCATGCCTAATTGTGTGTGTGTGTGTGTGTGTGTGTGTGTGTGTATACACTTGTCCTTTTACTTAAGGTGGAAATACCGCAATGTTTTGATTTTCTTTTATCTCAATTTTAAAATATGTACTAACAATTAAAATTCAGATCCTATCTTTTTTGTGATCTAAAGATCCCTGACAAAAATTAATCATCTGGCAGAAGTGGTTATGAGTCATATGATGGCTTTTTCTTATGTAGATTAGGAATACTTCGTGTTTGAGAAATGTTAGGATACCTTTTTAGTGGTGGTGTTGATTTAGGTTGTGGAATTTAATGAGTCTGGATGTGTTTCTTTTTTGGAAATTTACTTGTAACAGAAATGGTAATATTGAAATTTTATAATGGTCTAATAGACTAGTCCAGATTATTCAGCCTGTAAATTATTTCAGTAATAAGGCTGCCTACTCAAATGCCTAAATTGTTGGAGAAACACTTGTAAGCATTTAGTGTACTATCAAATTCAGGGAGGATAAATATTTTTCCAGATTCCCGACACATAACTCAGTATGTTGCCTAAGTTAGAATTCTCACATTGCCAGAAAATCTTCATTAGATGGCAAATTCTGACATACCTATCCTAACATAATTGCATGTCATTAAGTTCACTTAAGTTTCATGTGATGTTGTTATTGAAATATATTTTGACATCAAATATTTTAAAATTTATTTTTAAGAGTAAAATCCTAAGGTTTTTAATTATTCATCAAATTTTCATAAAGATGCACATAGGAACTTTTTGTTTGGAATAAGACTGTGGTACATTGTCATATGTTTTCTCACTTTATTAAAATCTAGTTATTGTAAGTCTTTGTGGACTAGAAGAATGTCACTTAACTACTTATCAGGTTTAAAAAAAATCTGAAAGTTTTCTTATCAATTTGATAATGAACTTCTTCACTTTCTTTTAATGGTTCTAGAGTTTTCATCTTTATAGAACACTTGCATTATTTATTTTTTTTTTAAATCTGTATAAGAAACGACACTCATTGTCAAATGTCACACTCTGGTTGCTGTTTGATCCTCCACCCATTGCAAAATAGCTTCCATGTCTGTTTTTAAAATCAACTTTGCTTTACTTTACTGGTGATCTCCTCAGTCAAATTCAAAGGAATTGGGGCACCTGGTTGGCTTAGTGGTTGAGCATCTATCTGCCTTTGACTCAGGTCGTGATCCTGGAGTCTTGGGATCCAGTCTGTATCAGGCTCCCCGCAGGGAGCCTGCTTTTCCCTCTGCCTATGTCTCTGGCCCTCTCTGTCTCCCATGAATAAATACAATCTTAAAAAAAAAATTCACAGGAATCATGCTGTTACTTTTCTTACTTGACGACTGTTTTTTCTTCTTCCTTCTTGGAACTCTTCATTGACTTTTATGTTTCTGCTCTTTCCTGATTCTTCTGTGTTTGTTGTTTTTATTATTTTCATTTGAATCTTTTCTCTTTGTTCACAGCTTATCTTTTTAAAATGCTGAGTGTTGTCTAGGATCCTCTTTCAGGGGTTTCTTACTTAATATTTCTCCCTAGATGTTGTTATTTGATCTTATGCTTTAGCTATAACCTGTAATGATGATTCCTAAATCTAAGTTCACTAATCTTCAGCCCCCTAGTTGGAGTCTTTCATTGGACATCTGCGTGTGCTGTTCCACAGAATGCCCAGTCAACAGATTGACAACTGAGTTCATCCTTTCCTTAAAACTTGTTTTTATTTCTTTCTTTCTTTTTTTTTTTTAAAAACTTGTTTTTATTTCCTCTTTCAATTGATGACAGCATCCTTTATGTGGATAGCCAAGGCTAAAATACAAAGAACATCTGAAATTATTCCTTCTCTCCTCTGTCAAATTCATCTCTATCTGTTTATAGATCTTGGTATTTCTTGAATTTGACATATCTTCTTTTTCATTCCCACTACCTCAGTTTAGGCATGCTTTGTCTCATTTGTATTACCCTTTTAACTTACTCCAGTCCCTCTGTAATCAGTTTTCTATACTGCTGCTACTGAAGGGATGCTTCCTAAGCCACAAAGCATTCATGTTACTCTTGCTAACCTTTTGTTACATGTTACTGAGTTCTTAGTACATACAAGGCATTTTGCTACTCATTTTGTCTCCTTTAGTTTTTACACTATAAGAAGGGTACTAGTTTTGTTTCCATTTTAATGATTAAGAAAAAGGAAGACTGAAGAATAAAGAGATTGCCTAAGGCCATATTTGTGGGAAGTAACAGACCCAAATCTTTTTCTCCCCAAACCTGAACTCTTAATTGCTATACTATACTGATCCATGATGTTTATAACAAGTGTTCTTCAAAGTAGAGCATATGAGATAATCCCCTGGGTGTGGGAAGAGAGTGTTTGCAACACTATTTATGTTTTACACCTTATGTTTTAAGTATTTTAACTTTGCTAAATATTTCATAGGTAAGTATTGTGCATAGGTATATATTTATATATAACCATACTATTTTATGTGTCTAGATTATGAAACTTATCAAATTATTATGTCTGCATTAAATATGTTTCATAAATTATATGTATTTATACATGTATTCATGTGTTAATATCTCCATATTTTGTACAATATATATTCCTGTTATTTTATATATGTATATACACTAATCTATATCCTGATATGTATGTCCATACATTGATAGACACTATAGAGATACATATTACATGTACACATGCATATATACCTATCTAAATATAAAATTTAAAATATATATTTAATAATGAATACTTTTACATATAGACAGATATACATATTTTCAAGTTTCAAACCTAGCAGAGCTATGTAAAGTATGGCCCATGGGCCAATCCAGAGTTTTGTAAATAAACTTTATTAAAATATAGCTATTCCCATTCATTTATTCACTGTCTAGGTTACTTTTGCCATACAATGGCAGAGTTGAGTAGTTGTGACAGAGATCATAAGGCTAAAATATTTACTATCTGACCCTTTACAGAAAACGTTTGTTAACTCCTGGTCTATAGGATAATTTCTAAGCTCCCTAGCAATGTATAAACACCCTACTGATTCTCCTTCTTCCCTCCCTCGTTTGTGGTAGGTATGTGAAGTATTGTATGCAGCTACCTAAATATTAAATCCAGTATTGTACCTCTGTGCTTTATGCTGCTTCCTTTCCCTGAATTATCACAACTCCCATGTCCTTTGCTGGGTGAAATTCTGTATTCATTCTTTAAATCTAACTTAGTTTCTAATTCTTCCTAGCTTAGTTTTTCATCAAGATAGAGTTAATCACTCTATCCTTTGTACTATTTCTGTATGATAACTGTATCTGTAAAATACCTGTATAGTATCTGTCATTGGTTTTGTCATGCTATTAAAATGCCTGTGTATGTCCTTCCATCCATGTGTATCCAAGATGCACAATTTTGAACACTTTGATATCTCTTAAGTTCAGGTGTGTCTTATGAATGATGTGTAAATTTAATTTGGTAGTGTTTCCTTCCTTTCCCTTCCTGGAAAGGAAACTACTAGGAAAACAGATAAATTGGTAATAGATGTTCCAATTTTTGGCATCTTAGACTCAAGGAAGTACTTTATTTATATGTCTTGCTTTCTGTTCTTGAGGTATAAGGTCATTGAGAAAGGGTTTTTGTGTTATATATGTTTGAAGAAGATGGTATTACAGTGTTCTGTGCATCATAGACCAAGTATGTTGAATCAAATACTAAGTCTGTATTGTTGGGTGATACAATTTCAGGTAGCAGTCTCCAGGATTAGTAAGTAAATCAGTGGGCATACACAATCAGAGATTTAACAGTATCATTTGTTTATTTTGCAAGAAGTAACTATTTTGTGTCAACTTCAGTAACTTTCAGCTAATGTATGACTTGAAAATTCTTTCAGTATTTCTGTGTTAGACTTTGGAGGTAGGAATGTAAGAAAATTAAAGAAAAATATGTAGGATTTTCTTGAACTCAATTGTACTAGAAACATTTCAAGTTTTAGTATCAAAATGGAATAGTATTGGATAGCACATCAATGTATATATTTTCAAATACTGAGTGAGTCTTGTTACAATAGGCTGGCAAATTCTGAAGTCTGTTAGTGACAGTGTTAATAAGTGGATTATGTTAGTTGGAATATTAGAACATCAAGGCTTTGTACCATTTGAAAGTACATTCTCCTGTGAATAAAGAACAACCATCAAGCTTTACGCTTTCTCTTTTAAGGGGTTGAGCAGGAAAAAGAGAATCTGGAGAAGCAGATGTCAGATTTGAGGGTGCAGCTGAACTTCAGTGCGATGACATCTGAATTAGAGGAAGCGAAGCGGTGCATGGAGCGAAAAGACAAGGAGAAAGCACATTTTGCAGCACAAGTTGAGGTGACTTTGCTATTTTTAAATTGTATTCAAAGGATTTCAGTTTTTTTTCCCCATAGAATTGTTTAGTAAAGTTTTAATATAAAGTTTGTGATATTTTATGAACTCTAGTTTCAGTATACATAATGTAAAGTTATATAGATAACTTCTTTAATTATATATAGAAATACCTATGGATTCATTTCTCTTTCATTTATACCTTAAAGCCAGGAACCTATTAAACTTGAAAATATTTTTGTTGTAGTGGCAATTGAGCTCTTCCTTCAGATAGAGGGGGCCTTTCTTTGAAGGAATGGTGAATTATCATTTATTTTGGGGGTGATACGGACAGAAGGCACAGCAAAAAAGGTATTACTGATATTTCTTCTTTGGAACCATAAAGGTTTTTAAATCTCTTACTGCTCTGCATGAGGCAGAATTGAGGTATCAGAAAATACTAAAAATAATAAAAAAAAGAACTTCCTAAAAAGGAAACGTCTTAATTCCAATTATAATTATGTAAATTAGATCAAACACAGATGATACATTTGGAAATAGATATGTACCATGCCTTTTCTATATCTGTTTTTATTAGTGGAGTTGTAGTCTGATTGTATTAAGGTGCCACATTTGAAGAATTTTCTAAATTATAATGGAAGGTAGAAAATTGGTCTTAAATATGTCTAACTTTATATAATCTAAAGGAAATATTTAATGTTACTGCAGTTTGAGTTTCTCTTTCATCTTGTCTGAATTAATGGAAAATGTATTTTAGATTTGGATCAAGATGCAGATTGTAAAGATAATGAAATATTGACATACTTTTTACAAAGCCCTCTATATGTATAATAAATACTTAACAGAAATATTATCAGAGCAATTGTCATTGTAGAACTTCTAGGGTTTGCTTCATGGGTATTATTTTAGCCCTTGATCCTCCTGACAAAAGTGCTATAATATTATTTTGCTAAAGTTAAGTATTATAAATAATATAAAAACCCCTATGCTAATAAATATCAAAGGTAGAAAAATCACTTTGCTAAGCTGTTTATAACCGCATACTGGTCTGTCCTTCTTCCCTTCCTTCCTTTGTATTGTTTCATTTACCACTTGCAGAATCAATTGAAAAAGTCTCATATACACAAGCATTAAAAAAAATTATAATGCCTTAAAAGTGCTCTCCTTCAAAGAGCCTGTCTTTCCCCTTGTCCTAACAATAGTTCTTTTACATTTTTACCTGGGTTAGGGAAAGAGTTGGTGTTCTCTGGGGCTAGTTTGGATTGATTGCATGGGTTTGGATGTGAAAGACAATTGGACAGAGAGGTTGAACATTTACATATCAAATACTTAATGACTGTGTATTACATGTCAGGCACTGTTCTAGGTGGTGGTGACACAGCAAAGAACAAAAACTAGGCAGATTTTTCTGTGTGCGGGTAACATTCTAAAATTGATGCAGAAAGTTCTTTGAGTTTGTCTTTCGTCTAATTCAAATTCCTTTTGGAAGATGAAAGATTTTTTTCCCATCCTCTTAATTACAAAAAGACATTGTTTATTCTGGAAGAAATTCCCATTAGCCAGTTCTTCCCCTCCCCCGACTTTATTTTTAACAATAAAATAATTAAATTTATAGTCATTATTTTAGATTTTTGTGACACTTCTGATTATGGCTTATTTTTCAATATCTCCAAGCTATTCTCAAAATGACATCTAGTGTAGACTTTGTGAGGGAATCAGTCATGGATCACTCAGTGTAACTTCTGTTGGGTATTTGCTTGAAATTTAACTGAAAAGCATTTAGTTTCTGCTTTATTTTTCAAAAATATTCAGTGATATTTATTTTTCAAAAATACTTGGTGTTGGGGGCACCTGGATGGCTCAGTTAATTAGGTGTCCAACTTTTGGTTTTGGTTCAGTCATGATCTCAGGGTCGTGAGATTAAGCCATATATGTTGGGCTCTGTGCTGGGCATGGAGCCTGCTTGAGATTCTCTCTCTCCCTCTGCCCTACTGTGCTTGCTGTCTCTCTTTTAAAAAAATTTTGATGTTGCCTTATATATTCTATAAAGAATGAAGATTAATCTTCTTTAGTTGCTTTTTAGAAACCAAATATAAATTAGAAGACATGCACAAAATGTGACTATTGGTCAGGCCCCCAAACATGTGCCATAATACTTTTTCTTATGGTTTGTTCAGTTTGTTCAATCACTAGTCTCTTTGTCTTTAATATCAACTTCCTAATACCTTTCCTATAAAACTTTATACACAGTCTTGAAAACTCATTTTTTCTTAAACTTTCCTATTCATTTCCATTTTTTGGGGGGGTCTTTTATCTAGTTGTTCACTGTTTCTGTAATGTCTTCTTTTTGTGGAAATCCTAAGCCTTTTCCTTCCTGAAGCCTCCTTTGATTATATCAGCTACAAGTGATGATCCTTCCTTCTACACCCTGTCCTTTTATTCACATCACTAATGTTCTCACACTGCCTTAAAGTATATGGGTAAATGTCTTTAAAATTTCAAAATGAGTGAGATAGGGGAGTGCAGAAGAAAGCTGCCCTGTCACTAAGACAAATAAGACTTCGATGTCCTTGTTTTGGTGAAGACTTCAGGTTTCAAGGTCTTGTCCTCACATCTGGAAACTTGAATTTTCTATGTCCTAGATTTAATGTGACCCAGGAGACTGGTTCATACTAATCATGAAACTCATCAGAGAGCATTGTATAAAAGAGTACCAGTTCACTAATGTAGCCTGTGGGGGCTCTGTACGGATATTTAAGCACTCTTCTGTGCAGAGCACCAGTGTCCCAATTTTCTATACCTTGGTTTTAGCAAGGTGAATTAATAACCAAAGAGCTGCTTGGTGAACAGAATCAGAGAATAATGATGTCTAAACGACTGTTTGTTTCCTCCCTATGGTAAGGCTACCCACTGCGTGTCTTTAACAGAGTCCTTATAACCAGAGATCTATTTACTTCACCAGATTCTGTTTTTGTTCCTGGAGTGTGTTGAACTGACTACTTTTGTCTTTCTCACAGTTTTCTCTCCTTCCACTCTGATGCGCAGCCTTCTGTTTACATTTTCTTTTGATATGTTGCTGTGCACAGATTTTGCTCTGGGCCTTTTTCCAGTATGTATTGATGTTGTAATTCAAACTTCCGGCATTCTGGAAGCCACTTATGAATAAAATACTTATGTCCTTTTTCAAATCATAGATGAGTATCGGGAAAGAACCAGGTCTTATCTCTATTTCTTTGTGCCCCTTGACAATGTCTTATCCATATTAGGACTCAGTATTTGTTGACTGAAGTATAAATTGTAGAACACTTTTATGGTTAATTTTAAAGCTAACATTTGTTGTTTGGTCATTCTTTAAAAGCACATTAATTTCTGGAAGAGTTGTCTGTCAGTATTCAAGGGGACCTTTGCTCTTATTAATTGCATTACTTTTTGTGCATCCAGAGTATATATTTTAAGCAGTTGTTTTGTACTGGAGAAAAACTGTGTTTTAAGCTTGTAAAAAACCGGAATGAAAGCTTTTTTGGGTTTGCATAATTTACCTTTCAAATTGTACCTAAAACCTTAAATCTGTATATGCATAGAAAATACTAAGTACATTTTTTTCTTCTTCTAAACTTGAGTTGAACCTCATTAACCTTGATAGGCTATTTGTATTCATAAGAATTCCAAGTATCCTTGATCAATGATTCCCCCTGATTTAATCTCAGCCTCCATCTTCTATCAACTTACTTTTCTTGAAGAAAAAATTTGACTTTTAAATTCAATGGGGGAACTTCAAAGAAAGAAAAAAAAACAAGGTGCTGTACATAATTTAGATTAAATGTTGAAAGTGATAATTGAGTGACAACTGACATGATTATTCATTAGCAGAAACTTGGGACTGTAATGCCATAATTTACTTTTAAAAGGGGAGTAGTGGAAAACAGAAATGATAATCAATAATAACTTTTCTTTTTGATGATTAGTACATGAGGAACAGAAGGAATGTTGCTCCATTTAACATGCTTTTAAGATAAACTCTTGATTCTTGCACTTTTTATATAAAGCTGGCTATTTTGCTATGTAATAGTGCCCCCTTCAATACTACTTTTAAGCCCTTCTTAGAGACTTTAATGCCCTGTCTATAATTTTTGGTTCTTTTTTTATCTTAATAAATTTTTCCTTATCCAAGTGCTTGTTGTAAAATAAAGTACTGAGTACTAAGTAATTTTTAATACACAGATTATAAAGAAAACAAATATTGGCAGCAAAACTTTACAGACAGGCTAAAATTGTTGAACCTAGTGGAGATGAGGTCTGCCTCTGTTATTAGCCAGATTAACCTGCATTGAAGCAGATTTCTAAGTCCACAAATGCTCTATACTCTGAGTTCTTTATAAAGATGACTACTGGCAGAGATCTCCTACAAGTAAAAACTCCAAAACTAAATAAACTTTTGTACCTTGAGGAAGATAAATTAGTGTAATTCTCAAATCTTTCATCTATATGAAAATATAGGAGTAGTGAAGAAAGGCAGCTTTTCTGTTTTCTGTAACTCAAGAGTTGCATGAATATTTCCATAAGGCCAGAAAGTAGAAGTGGACCAAATATTTTAAACTTTCCTTTAAGACATCACCAATATTGACTAATATGACCAGTAAAGAAATAATTTAGGAATAAAAGTGTCTATTTTAAAGTTCTTTATTTTCTGAAGTCATGATAATTTCTGCCTCATGTGTTTTATGTATAAATTAAATACATAGGCCTTTATATATGTCTCTGTGATGTGCATGGACACAGGCATGGAGTCGGGGTGGAGGAGAGGAAGAAACTTACATTCCTCACAGAATAATGAAATATTGGTAACTTAGGTTAATTATAGATAGATTTGATGTTAAAAGCAATTATAAAGATGTCATACACCTTTGGGAATAATTATTGAAGGACTTGCTATGGAAAACTAGGTGATATGTAACAAGGTAATATTTTTCACAGAATCTTAGTAATTGATAGTTGTTCATTTCTTG